AATGAGAATAAAAAAGTTTTACATATCTTATAAAGGTATACCTTTCACTACACTGTATAAACTAGTGCTCTTAAAGCATATTTCCACCTTTCCCCTTTATATTCATGGAGGTCACAAAACTGTTGGAAAATATTCTAAATTTTAATAGATAAGAGAACTGATATTAATTGTGCGAGAACTAACATTAATTTTTTTTTTTAATTTAAATTGAACTCATTATCAAACAATTTGTTTGCTAAATAATTTAATCCTTAAAATTCCTGAATAATTAAAAATTATTTTGATTACCTCAGCATTTTAAAGATATTCCATCAATTGCAATTGATTCACCTAAAAAAAAAAAAACAAGTAAAGCTAATATTATTGTTTGAAATTTTAATTATCTTTATACAAATACTCATCATATTTTTAAAGTGACTGATAAAAATGGATTTAATTAAAATCACTTCATTTGTATTAAAAAATTAATATTAAAGCCTTAATCATACATTATACAAGAGTATTTTGTAATACAATCTAAATAAATGATTTTTTTTATCCAAAATTTAGCTTCTGTAAGCTTTAGAAATTTTTTAAAGAAATTATTGATGAATTTGGATCTACGGGTACTAATGTTTTTATATTGTTGTAATGTTTGTATTCATTCCCTGTTAGTTTCTGTAAGTCAAAATTTTAAGGTGTTTCCATAATAAATTCTGTTATATCTGAAATTTAGTGTTAGTCTGAATAATTTAATTTCTAAAATCTGTTTTGCATTGCCTGTCTTATAACATCTTTACTTGGAACAAAAACCTTGTGGTTTAAAAGTGAGCTAGAAGCTTTAAACAATGAAGAAAATATTGCATTCAATAATCCTAAAAATATAATAAACCTGTCAGCAAAATCAGCTGTCAATAATCCAAGTATTAGCATCATTAAAAATTCATCTTTGCTGCATTACATTTATTTTCGTCCAAGTAGTTAAGGACTTTTTAAATTTCAAAAAACAGAAGTAAATGTTTTTTTAATATCACTTTATCTCTATTGATTAATGGTGATACTGCACTAACTGATGAAACACATTGACAGATGTAAGGCCAGTATAAAAGTCGCAAGATCTATTATTTTTAAAATAAATGTTTGTATACAAATAAATTGCAATAACACGATTTGTTTGGATTATGTTTATATACAAATTTGTCTGTTTTCATAGTATTAACTGATGTGGTTGAAGTTAATTTTTCAAATAAATCTTTATTTTTTTATTTCGTGCTGAAGTTCTTTTTTAAAGTTATCATATATTTTTTTTTAAATTTCCTTTTTTAATTCTTGATGCTCTATTAAAAAACAACGCTTTAATTCAACATAATTTAATGGATCATTTTTTGAAAAAGCTGTATTATATTTACATTTAATAATATCAGTCTTTGAGCATTGTAGCCCAAGTTAAACGAAAAATATCGGTTTTTAAACGATAATGTTCTTTCAGGAAAATCGTCTGAACATGTTTTCGAACTCTTGAAAATTCTATATGATATAAGTTCAGTATTTACATTTTTTTTTCCATTATAAATCTCTATAACTTTAATCGTTGAAATAATGTTTACGATTTTACTTCCATTTCTGCGCGGGCATAAATTTTATATCGCATTTTTTGTCAACAATGATTGAAATAATGACGTTAAAATAACGTTAAATAATCAACGTTTAAACTGTAACGGTTGAAATAAGGTTAAATAATCAACGTTTAAATGGTAACGTTGATTTAGCGTTGTGACATAGTTGAACAACGTTGAATCAACGCTTCAACCGAATTTCAACGTTGAAACAATGTAATAATGCCGGCTGGGGGGTATAATTCGAAACGTTTTTAAAGTAGCTTTTTACGTAAGTTGATTCCACGTTGAATAAACGTTTTATTTTGAGAGGCTAAGTTACGTTACAATTTCAACGCTTATTCAACGTTTCAATTTACCGTGATTTAGTATACAAAAACAAACATTGATTCAACGTTGAAAGCACGTTGTTTTTGTGACTGTAACGCTTTTTCTACGCTGCGACTGGTTTTCAACGTTGATTCAACGCTTACATGTTTGCTGGGTATATATATATATACATACATACACATACATATATATATATATATACATACATACACACACACACGTATATATATTTATATATATATATATATATATATATATATATATATATATATATATATATATATATATACATATATATATATATATATATATATATATATATATATATATATATATATATATATATATATATATATATATATATATATGTATATATATATATATGTATATATATATATATATATATGTATATATATATATATATATATATATATATATATATATATATATATATATATATATAATATAATTTAATGTATTAATTAGCAAACTAGTTATAAGTATTTTATTATAGTAATTAAATAATTAACAAGGATGGTGTTACTCAAACAGAAATCTAATCAAAGGAGTGATACCAGTTTTCGAATATAATATGAATATTAACAAGTATACACACATAGAACATACATAAACAAGTAAAGTTTTAAAAAACCATACTTTGGTGATTATAATAAAAAATAAATAAAAAAGAGTATAACGATAATAATTGTAGTAATTTAAAAAAAAAAAAAAGAGTATATTTTGTAATTTAAGTAAAAATCATTTCAATAAGTTAGAACAAATTTGTTTTTAGAACTTTTTTAAATTGGTTTTGTGTAAGATTTAGAAAAAATAAAGGTATTTGAAGTGTAGTTTTTTAAACTCATTTACTTCGCATACATGACTCTTATTCCATTTACAAAAGCACTGATAGACAAGAGAATATTTTCCAAACTTCTGATTTTTAAACGTTGGTACATTAAGTTTCCCATTATATATGTTTCTAGTAGAATATTTAGGTATTGTTCTACTTTATGCAAAAATGTCTGTTATAGAAGAGGGTAAATTTTTATTAAGAGAGTTATAAACAAAAAGAAGATTAGCAAATTTTTCAAGCGCTGGAAAGGTTGCAATTTTTAGTTATTTGAAAGATTCTGATGTTTTTGAGTTAAAAAGTTGAAAGTTTATGATTCTTATGGACTGACGTTGAGAAGACATCAACTTTTTGATGTGATAGTTGCCATTTTGACCCCAAATTTACAACAGTAAATAAGATGCTATAAAAAAAATGCACAGTATATATTCTTTAGTGTTAATTTATTGACATAATGACAAAATATTGAAAGTGCGCTGTTTGTTCGATTTAGTTTTTAGGGTAGCTTATTGATATAAAATTTCCACGAGAGATTGCAGTCAATCAAAACACCGAGATATTTGATAACTTTTGTACAATATAACCGTTTATTATTAACTTTGATTTGATTTTTATTAATTTTTATTTGGATTGTGTTTTTTCTAGAAGATGAAAAAAAGATCAGTTAATTTTTTTTTGCGTTAAGATATCTTAAGTTAGCATTTAACCAGTGAACAAAACCTTTTAGATCCGAATTTATGTTTTTACATAGAGATATATAAAATTTGTTAGTATGCAATAGGTTGGTGTCATCAGCAAAAAGATTAATTGACGAGAAGCGAATATAGTATTTTATGTCATTAATATAAATAAAGAACAAAAGAGGACCAAGAACAGAACCTTGAGGAACACCGCACACAACAAATTTATTAGTAGAAATATAACCATTAATACTTACAAATTGTTTCCGATCTGTAAGATAATATCAAAACCAGTCATTTACAACACCGCGAATACCATAGTGTTCTAATTTAGAAATCAAAATGTTATGATCAACGGTATCGAACGCTTTTTGTTAGTTTGTAAATAAACCACAAACAAACCAACTGTTTTGCTGTATTTTAATTTCACATTTCGTTTTGGACAATGGACAAAACCATTCTTTTTTCAACTTGATCATCAAGTTGAATAAAGTTACTAATTTTACGAAATTTAGTTAATTGATTTTCATTTATACAAACAAAATTGTCTTTAGACTATAAAAAACCAAAACATATTGGTCCACACTATAGTTTCATAATTATAATAAGACTTCGATTTTAAATTTTACGTATATACAAAAACGTTTTTAAATGATTTAAGTATTCATCTGTAATAAACCATTTTTATATAAAATATGCAACGTAAAGTATTGTACACAATGCAAAGAGCCTTTTTAAAAACTTTTGTACAATGCAAGTTCTTATAAACTTTTGTAAAATTATACATATTTTTATAGCCGAAAAATCTTTTAATGTTTTTACTTTTATTTCATTAATTCTTTTATTAAAGGTTTTTAAAGAACATTTCAACACACAAATCTATGTCAAATAATAGATTTTATTTTAATTCCAAACTATTAGTACATTTACGTTGGCAATCGTTCATATCTAAATTTCAACGTTATTTCAACGTTTATCTTAAACGCTAATTCGACATTTATTTTTAGTTAAAAATTAAAGTTGAATCATTGTTAAAATTATTAATGTTTTTATTTTAACGTTGAAATAACGTTAAAATTTTTCGTTATTTTTCAAACATATATTAACCATTTTGCAACGTTGAAATAACGTTATGTGTTTGCTGGGTAATTCCTATTTTTTCTGTTTTTATGGTTAAAACTTTTTTTAATAAACGAAATTAATTTTATAGTTACATTTGATTTTACTTTATATATATAAATATAAAATTTATGGGTTACAAGTTCAGACTTGTTTTTGACATGAAATATATAAAATAACATTTATCTGCTGTTTTAAATATTTGGCAGAAAAGTAAAACCTTTTATGTAATCAAATAAAACAAAAAGTTTTGTTTAAATTCTGAAGTAAGTTTTACATTCTTAAATTTATAATATTGTTTGATTCCCAAAGCCTAATTTTATTAAACGTAAATTACCTTCTTGACAATATTATCTGTAAATGCTTTCCTATAATAAAAATGTCTATTTAAAAATATATTAATATATTGCGTTTTACTTTTAGGATTATCAGGTGCTACAACTGCTTTAGTTTTGTTTTGCGTACTTTTTCTCGTATTTCTATTGATTTGTTTTGTGGTATGTTTTCGACATAAAAAAAGGTAGGGTAATGACAATTTTACTTTAAATAAAATTTCATTTTATCATTTTTGATCAGACACCACAGAGTGTCAGAGTAAATAATGAGCAGTATTGTTGCCAACTTTGTTTAGAAAACCATAAATATTTGTTTAAACAAGCGGTCAACGCTTATCTACTAAAGTAACTATATGTTATCGAAAAAGTTTATAAAAAAAAGCAATTAACACATCTAAAACTTCTTATTTGTGATTATATCGTATAAAGATAATTTTTTTGAAAATCTTAAGTGTAATTATCTATAAAAACGTAACTTTTTGAGTTTCAGAGGAGAAATCTCATATAGCATGATTAAAAAATAAAGTTTATAAAATATTAGTTTACTCTTTAAAGCAAAACCTCTTATAGATGAAATATGCACAATATATTTATTTTGAAACATATATTTAAATTTATGTTTACATTATATTTTTTGTATACACAAAATTTTACATATTTAAACTTACATTAACATTAAACAAATGTATTTCTTATTTTTTAATTATTTAAATTATTATTATGCTTGACTATTATTTTGGTTAATAGTTGGTTAACAAATTAAATATACCAAATTGTACCTTAACAAGCATGTATCTTTTTATAACTTTAAGTCCCAACCCGTAATTGCTCTTTTCTTAGAATTTAGTCTCTTTAGACTATATTTTAAAAAAAGTAAAGTTTTAGCATGAATTAAATTAAAATTTATAGAAACATCGTCAAAAAATCTCTTTTTGTTAAAGATTTATTATATTATTGTAAAAAAAAATAATATATTACAATAAAAATTATAAAATTCCTCTTAATTACCCCTACAAACAACTTTGAATGATCCTAACTTTTAAATGAGAGTTTTATTTTTTTTAAATTTGCGGTCATTGATGAATTTTGATCTTGATTAATATAAGATAAAATAAAAAATTTTAAAATTATTATTAAGGTACTATACCATTAGAGTGCGGTTTCGGGATGTTTAAGAATTGGAAGATAGTGTCTAACACTTTTTAATTTTATCTCTCTAACTTTTTGTGAACTTTATTTTTTGTAAATCTTTTTTATTTAAATCTTGTTATTTGTTTGTCATTGCAAAACACTTACTTTTTTAATTACTACGTAAAATTGTTAACATATAAAAATGCAATGTCTTTTTACACCACTACTTGAAGACAAGACCATACAGTCTTCTACAAGTTTCCTCGTTTTTTTTTTATATATATTAAATATCTTCATTTTTAATTGTTTGCTTTATTTTAGCTTCTAAAATTTATGAAAAATTAAGGTACTTTTTTAAAATATAATAAAGAACAAAAAAAAATAATAATAAAAGCACAAGAATATTCCATAAAAAATCATGGCAGCTAGCATGTATTTTAAGTTTTATTAGTTAAATTACAAACTGAACTATTAACTTTATTAATTACTTTTTACTATTAGTATTTAAGTTATTACTCTTGTTTAAATTCATATGTTACAATTACTATTTTAAATTTTATCAATTATGAAGGGCTAGCTGATGCTTCCCAGCTAGCACACTTACATTGGGCCAATGTATGTAAAAGCATCGCAAACGTCGGCTCTTTTTTCCAATGCAAAACTAACGTAGATTCAATGTCATTTGGTTAATGATAAAATTATTACCAGTGGAACTAAAAACATATTGCAAATTTACATTGGTCCGATGTATGTAAAAACATCGCAAAAAAATGATTGTTTTTACAATCTAAACCTAATGTTGATCAGGTGTATATATTTCGACGTTGATTCAATGTATATAAATCATCATTTTTCTAATGTAAAAATATCGCAAAAATTTCATTGTTTTTACATTGCAACGTATTTAAATACATTGCAAAAAGTTGATTTTTTTTACGAACTAAATCCAACGTGGATCCAATGTATGCGACCAAACATTTCTATTGCAAAATTATATAAATTAAATAAAATTTTCCCTGATTATTAAAATATCAAACCACAATAAACACAAACATGACTTTTGTTCAGATGATCAAGCGTTATCAATCTTACACCTATTTACATCATGTTTACATTGACTGTATGTGTATATATATATATATATATATATATATATATATATATATATATATATATATATATATATATATATATATATATATGTATATATATATATATATATATATATATATAATGGTGTATAAAGAAAATAGAATTTAATTCCGAATATTATTGAATTCAAAGTTTTGCCAATTAAAGTTCAACGTTGAATCAACGTAAATACAACGTTGTGCCAACTTAAAATACAACGTTGTGCCAACTTAAAATACAACGTTGGGCCAACATATAAAATAAAACGTTGAATCATCGTCAAAAATGTAACCATTTTCCGACTTTTAAAAAACGTTTTATCAACATTGGTTTTTAGTTGTTGGCGACATCGCATTTGTAACCATAATGATTTAAAAACATTGTTGGCAGCCGATGTTGCGTTAGCAAAACGCGCGACATTGTTCTAATGTTTTAACAACGTTTATATGCTAGCTGGGTTGATATTATTAACTGAACTGAAAACATGCTTTTGGTCATTGAATCAAAATTTTAATAAAGGTGCTGATATTCTTTGCAAATTTATCAATGCATATCAGAAGTTTTTATTTGAAGCATTTTTTTAATTAATATAATGTTTAATTATGTTAATTAAAAAAATATATAAAATTCTTCATTGCTGCTTTAGAAAAGGCAAGGGTGTATAACCTAAAAATAATAATGAAACAAACTATATAAATCTAACCCTTGTAATTTTTTATTTTATTTTGTATCCTAACCATAAATATAACCCTAACCCTATTAAGATTCTTTTCAAGCTCAAGTGCCCGCTCCAAACGATCAGAGAGTGTTCGCCTCTTATCAAGACAAGAATTAATGGTAGTATCTAAAGCAAGCAATGTCACCATAGATATGTAAACATCTGGAAAATTGTTAATGTAAATTAAAAAAATTGTAGACCTAAGGATAGAATCTGAAAGAGCCCCTGAAGTTGCAGGATGTGAAGAAAACTGCTTTCCATCGAGGACAATTTTTATACTATGATTTGAAAAAAAGGATTTAATAATCTTGAAGATGTTACCTGATACACCGTATGAGGAAATCTTATGGAAAAGACCAGCATGTCAAACTTTGTTAAAAACTTTATAAATGTCGAGAGCGATAGCTTAATCCTCTTCACCTCTTTCTAATGTACGATAAACTTATCTGTTATTACTGTTAGCAAATCAGTTGTAAAACAAGTAGATCGAAATCCATAATGATGATCAGAAAATAAGTTATTAGATAAGATGAGAAACTAAGTATTTGTTAAATAAAGAATAAAAAACCTAGCTTATGATTTAAAGAAGACTAATGCGACGGAAGTTAGACAAGTCAGTTTGCTCTAAAGCATGCTGGATATATAAGACTCTGATTAGCACTTGTTAAATAGTTTTGAATGTATAGACGACAGCTCCAGAAAATACTTCTGCAAGACTAGAACAGGTATGTTGTCCGGACTACGCTGAAGAAGAGTTTAAGCAGGAATTTATTTTAGATACAGATACTGGAGTAACACAAATGTCAAGCTATGGTTTAAGTTGTTTGTTGCCAATATCAGGTAAAACTTAACTTATGAAATCAAGAGATTATTTTTTGAAAAGTTTTAAACAAACAATTAACGTTTATCTTTAGGTCAGGTAACAAAACCTGAGCCGTAAGAAAGGTGGAATAACAGCTTTGCCCTTATTATTGATACTGTTAGAAATTCTCCAGATGTTAAAAGAGCCTAATTTTAGAGGTGAAATATGAGATTTCGTGACCTGAGAATAGCTGGCTTTGACGTTAGGCAAAATCTTTTTACAATGTTTCTAGAAATAGTAAACAAACGTTGGTATTTCAGATAATTTTTTTGCTGTTAGATATGGATGTTATGGTTTCGCTGTTAAATATGGAAGTAATGGTTTTGCTGTTAGATATGGAAATAATGTTCTTTTAGCATTAGTTTTAGCAATTAGTTTATATCACGATGTAAAATAAAAAACAATAACTGGTGTTAAATTATAATAATTGAAAAGCAAAGACTCGCAATAATTTATAATTAACAAAAACAATAACAAAAAATACGAATGAAAAAAAATTTTATAACTCTTATATGAAACTTTAAAACATATTGCCTATAGATATTCTGGTATAATTTTCTTTAGATATTGATATTTTCTATAGGAAAGTAAAATATTTATTTTTAAAAACAACATTTTAAAAATGGACTTAAAAGTAAAAAATTAAAAAGAACCTTAAGACTTTGTGTATGTACACAACCTGAAATATCCATTATTTTTGGTCATTGACACAAGTCAATGATTGAAAAAGATCAACCGCTCCGATATTGTACTTTGCAGGAAACTTTAGAGCTTTAGGTTTAATTAAATGAACTCCATCTCTACCAAAACTGATGCAAACTGATAGAACGTCGTTGTCGTAAAGCTAATTTCGTTGGAAACTGGGCGATAAGAATCCATATTTTACAACTGTGCCAATACCATCATTGACAAGACCTTTCTTCACGTCTACATTTAAGCGCAGCATATCTTTGACACCAAAAAATCTCTAGCTATTGTGGCAAGTCTCCGGTTTTGCTGATATCTTTTGTAACAATGTTATCTATTTTTACAACACCCATATTTCTTGGTGAATTAACTATTCTATCCTGGGCTTTGATTTGTGTATCTCGTTCTCAGGTAGTATTGTTCCATAATACTAGAGAATTGATTCGTTGTGAAAAGTTGATGATTGAGTTTAGTTACTTTAATTAAACTTAGCTAGAAAATCCATTTCAGATAATGTAAAAAATCTTTGTGATATTTTGAAAGACATTGATGATCTAACAAATGTCTAAAATTATATTATCTCACCTCCAACTGTTTATAAGATAATAATAGATATTTAACTGAACCGACTCTGATCTATGAAAAATTTAACCATT